AATAGTATACAAAGTGTTCCATTAAAAAAAACGAAGAAAAATTATTTTATATTTTAGAATTTTGAACATCATGTATGATTTACAATTACCATATTTATAACAAAGTAAGAACAAACTATCAGAAGTAAACACCTAATATAGTTTTGATTTCAGGACAGTTCTTCTTCTAATAAGTTTTTTAAGGAAGGCTTATCATAATCATCCCGAATGTTGATGGATTCACTCCAATGGTAGAAGGACTGCAATCATTATTTTTTAGTCAAATTTTCTTCAAAACATCTTCTAATTGTACAATTTGCTTTGCATATATCAACTGAGGTAGTTCTTAGTAGCACACCCTGTTTATATTTTCTAAAAACGGTGGTGTGGATATATATGCCCTTTCGTTGCCGTATAAGGCAATTTGTTAACAATAAAAAATGTTTCTTTGAATATAAAATTTACTGAAATGCCATATGAAATATAAAACCGGGAATATCTAGGAAATTGTTAAAAATTTTCGAATACTCTAAATACAATAAACGTTTATTTTTAAATTCTCCATCTATTGAAAAAATAGTATACAAAGTGTTCCATTAAAAAAACGAAGAAAAAATTATTTTATATTTTAGAATTTTGAACATCATGTATGATTTACAATTACCATATTTATAACAAAGTAAGAACAAACTATCAGAAGTAAACACCTAATATAGTTTTGATTTCAGGACAGTTCTTCTTCTAATAAGTTTTTAAGGAAGGCTTATCATAATCATCCTGAATGTTGATGGATTCACTCCAATGGTAGAAGGACTGCAATCATTATTTTTTAGTCAAATTTTCTTCAAAACATCTTCTAATTGTACAATTTGCTTTGCCATATCAACTGAGGTAGTTCTTAGTAGCACACCCTGTTTATATTTTCTAAAAACGGTGGTGTGGATATATGCCCTTTCGTTGCCGTATAAGGCAATTTGTTAACAATAAAAAATGTTTCTTTGAATATAAAATTTACTGAAAATGCCATATGAAATATAAAACCGGGAATATCTAGGGAAATTGTTAAAAATTTTCGAATACTCTAAATATGTTTATTTTTAAATTCTCCATCTATTGAAAAAATAGTATACAAAGTGTTCCATTAAAAAAAAACGAAGAAAAATTATTTTATATTTTAGAATTTTGAACATCATGTATGATTTACAATTACCATATTTATAACAAAGTAAGAACAAACTATCAGAAGTAAACACCTAATATAGTTTTGATTTCAGGACAGTTCTTCTTCTAATAAGTTTTTTAAGGAAGGCTTATCATAATCATCCCGAATGTTGATGGATTCACTCCAATGGTAGAAGGACTGCAATCATTATTTTTTAGTCAAATTTTCTTCAAAACATCTTCTAATTGTACAATTTGCTTTGCCATATCAACTGAGGTAGTTCTTAGTAGCACACCCTGTTTATATTTTCTAAAAACGGTGGTGTGGATATATGCCCTTTCGTTGCCGTATAAGGCAATTTGTTAACAATAAAAAATGTTTCTTTGAATATAAAATTTACTGAAAATGCCATATGAAATATAAAACCGGGAATATCTAGGAAATTGTTAAAAATTTTCGAATACTCTAAATACAATAAACGTTTATTTTTAAATTCTCCATCTATTGAAAAAATAGTATACAAAGTGTTCCATTAAAAAAAAACGAAGAAAAATTATTTTATATTTTAGAATTTTGAACATCATGTATGATTTACAATTACCATATTTATAACAAAGTAAGAACAAACTATCAGAAGTAAACACCTAATATAGTTTTGATTTCAGGACAGTTCTTCTTCTAATAAGTTTTTTAAGGAAGGCTTATCATAATCATCCCGAATGTTGATGGATTCACTCCAATGGTAGAAGGACTGCAATCATTATTTTTTAGTCAAATTTTCTTCAAAACATCTTCTAATTGTACAATTTGCTTTGCCATATCAACTGAGGTAGTGCACTTAGTAGCACACCCTGTTTATATTTTCTAAAAACGGTGGTGTGGATATATGCTCTTTCGTTGCCGTATAAGGCAATTTGTTAACAATAAAAAATATTTCTTTGAATATAAAACATAAAACGACATGGGACAGAACCTGCTAATTCAGGAAGTCGACGGTCACAATATCACATTTACGCTCTCGAAATAAAGGGAAAATTGCGCCCCAATTAAATTATCCTATTTACCTTTCGACCGAATTTTCACTTCCATAATTATTTTGCCTTTTTCAAGGGTCGTCAAAATCCGGGAAATCTTGTTGCTGGATTCAGGCGACGCGACGGCGATGTTAAATATAGAAACAACTTTGTATAGAGTATTCATATTTACCAAGAGTGGGTCCTAGATGGGATTTCCTACTGCGACCTCGAGAGCTATTGTGGCTCAATTCAACAAACTTTTTAAAAAAAATATAAGTAGTCATAAGGGCACACGCAAAAAATATAAGTAGTCAGACAGACAGATAGATAACCGATATAGATAAATAGGAGAGTGGCGTTAAACATGTAAAAACGGTTAAGAAACACTAATGAACAAGAATAAACATGTTTAAACAAGAAACTACCGCTTGAAAACAGAAAACAACCACCTAAATGCGTAAAATAACAGAATACAATTTGTGTTGTATATTTGATATTGATATTAAACATATTTTTAAAAAATGGTGTATTTTTTGTGTTTTTATGTATGTCATAATTAAAAATAAATGAAGAATTAAATTTTTTTATTTTTTTAAACTTCCCGCCATGCGTGACAATCTAGACCGTAGTTCCTACAAGCGATATTGGGGGCGCTAGTAACAGTAGTCAACAGTGTCAAATTTAAACGTCAATTTTACTTTCCAATATTTAGCAAGACGCTAGCACTTCTTCTTGTGTATGTGTTTTCTGCTCTGCAGTGTAATATCAGTCTGCAGTGGCCCGTGTATACTGCAGTATACACGGGATGAATAATGAAATGAACGGCATGAACGAATAAAATCAGGAATTTTGACAAGCTGTCATGTTAACAAAGATGACACTAGCACCTTCAAACTCTAGGGCTATAATCTGGAGAAAGAGACCTTTAAAATAAGGTATCACTCGACTCCCCTTCCCATTACAAAAACTAGGGGTACCACTCACCCCCGCTCGGGGGGTGAAGCTAGAGGCAAGGTAATATGCGTAAAATGTGCCCCTTTTAAAAAATAGTTCGACGTGTTCCAGCATTTTTTTTACTAAAATCCCAGTTTGAGAAAATTAATTTATTCCATACTTTATGTACACACTGTATATCAAGAAATTATTGTAGTTGTTTAGGCTTTCGCGGCCATCGTTTGAGGAAATGTTGTTTTTCGGGTTATTAGGCCGTCGTCTACCGTATACCTTGTTCCTGCGGTAGCGTATAGTATATTGTAGTTCCAAATCAAACCAAACCAAACCAAACGCTCAGTAGGAACTAGACTTACAGAACACAAGAGAAGCTGCAGATTAGGGCAAACAGAGAAGTCGGCCGTAGCAGAACATGCTCTAAGAGGTGGTGACCACCATATCCAATTCGAAGACACCCAAGTCATTGCCACAACATCTGGATATCATCCTCGTCTTGTCAGGGAAGCTGTTGAAATTCACAAACATCCAAATAATTTCAACAGGAAGGAAGAAACTTTCTACCTTAACAGAATTTGGCATCCAGCTATACTAGGACCAAAGTAGCAGCACAGAGAAGTAGACCAGTTTAGTGTGAGAAGTCGGAGCAAACACACCTCTGAAGATGCTAGCTACTCGTGCTAGCGAAACGTCAGGAACCAATTCCAACCGACGACGGCCTAATAAGCCGAAAAACAACATTTCTTCAAGAAATTATTGTTACACTCGTTGAATTTGACACTTTATATCAGTTTAATAAATGTTTAATAATACATTTTCGTACTTTTGTATTAGGCGTAAAAGTGCTTTACTTTTATGCCTAGGCATGAAAATCATCATTTTTGTGACGTTTCAACAAAAAACATTTACAAGTTTTATAATATGTCTAATTAAATTTGGATGAAAGGAATATTGCTGATTGCTGTAAATATTTCTTAGTGAAAATACGTCAATTAAAAGGACTTTTTAAGTCAAAAAAGTCAAAAGGACAATTTGTTCCAAAAAAGGACTGTCGTTTTCAAAAAAGAAGAGGTGGCAACCCTAGCATATACGCACCATTCCTGCCGGGCTTTGAGAGCAGGATAACTTCTGCGTTTAGTGCCAACATTTTCTTAGTTTCCCTGCCAAAATTCTTGGCATGTTCCATTCAGGGACTGTCATTCGAGTCTTGAATCGTCATGCCCCTAACCCATTCACAAAGCCAGTCTCTGGCGAGTTTAACATTAACTGCCAGTTCTGGGTCCACGAATGAAGTACCTGCACCTGTTTTGGCGAGGGAGTCAGCATATTCCTTTTCCTTTATACCGACATGGCCTGGTATCCATATCAAAGACACTTTATTCCTATCTCCTAGTAAATTGAGTACTTCCTTACAATGAAGAACTTGCAACGAAATGCACGTCTGTCGTTGCTTCACGCGCTGTCAATGTGGCTTGAATAGAGTTGTCTATACGAAAATCTAACAGTTTTGGACCGATTAAGTCGATTCATCTTGTTGGCTACAGACAACGCCAATCTACAGTGTCGACCCGGTTTTCGATGCGGCTTAAGACATTGTTTGAGATTAAGTACTTAAAAATGCGCTGCAATTTACTATATGCAATATCTAGAAAGGCATAAAATCTTTTTCATCCATCACAAATGTTGATAATATTTCTTTGATCATTAGTAATGATAAGCACGACAGCACTTACTCGTTTAATAGAGGTGGGCATCTGAAGATATCGTGCTATGATTTGTGTACCTACAAGCTACAACCAAGACATATTAAAATTATCTCTTTTGCGCGTTTTATATCATTACTGTATTTCCTTTTCGACCCGAATTTTCACTTCCATAATTATTTCCTTTTTCAGGCTCGTCGAAAACCGGGAAAACTTGCCTGGTTTCCCGCTTCCTAGGTGGGAAATTCGACGAAAGCTACACGCCTACGATCGAGGATTTCCACCGAAAGTTGTACCGGATTAGAGGCGAGGTCTATCAGCTGGACATCTTGGACACGTCCGGAAATCATCCGTTTCCGGCTATGAGGCGGCTGTCGTTCATGACAGGTGAGTGGGAAATGGTTGACAGGACGAGCCATGATCAAATTAGATCATGTTTAGACTGATTCTTCTTTAAAAAATCATTAAAAATTAGTTTTCAATATAAAACACACTCGTAAATTATGAGATAATATGTAACGGACTTAAATGAGATGAAAGTTGCGTATAACATGTTCGAGCATACTCATGATATGGTATGTAATATACAGGATGGTCAATTTTGCGACAATCACTATTAGGATCTGCTCAAACGCTAGGTAGGAATACCAAGACGGTTAAATGGGAAAAAAAGTAGCGTATTAATAATATAATTTTTACTATTCTCGACATTTTGGAACTCTTATGTTACTCGCTTATTTTTATATAACTATCTTAATTAACAATTATCAAAGAGTAAATTTTAGAATATAGCAATAAAAAATGAATTTCGACAAATAGCCCTCAGAAATTAGTTAAAGTTATTTTATGTTTTTGAACATTTTTTTCACTATTATGTACCTTGCAAAGTTTTCAAAGATCACTTTGAGTGACAACATTTTTTTGACAGCGTGTTTGAGGTAGCGCTGACGCGTTGTGTCCCCATACTGCTCTGTCTGATTGTTATATTTTTGTTTTACATTGTATTCGAATGTTATCTACAAATGTTCATCCTTCAGAAAACAGTTTGGAGGTGTTAATTAAAATTACACCTTTGAGCGCTTCTCAGCGCCAGGTGTCCCGAAACTAGAACTGCTGACTGTACCTTTGCATTTAATCACTAAAATGCAATCGATTTTGAAAATATGAGCCTTCAGAAAATTGGTGCATGTTTTTGCACCCAGCTCTTGAACTGTTACAGAGTTGAATCATCAAAAATTCTCGGCTCTTCATTTTGTGTCTCAACTTTAAAATCAACAATATGTTGCATTTAAATATCCCTCTTTAGACCAAGTAGCTTGTCTCATAGGAAACAAGTAGCTAGAGACAACCAAATATTTACTGTAAACACAACTTGTGGCCTGACTTGTCGAACTAAATGGGGATTTTCGGTTACATAATAATGTTTAATTCTTCGGTTGAATAAGCCACTATTAGTAAGTAATGTTTCATCGGAACACTACTGTGGTTCGAAAATAATTTTTATTGCAAAAATCTGGATCCTCGCCCAATTGATTACGTAAATAACGCCAGAAATCCAATCTTCTTGGTTTGTCTGCTAAATGTAACGTTAATCAAACCCTTTATAGTTTCATGACCACTTTAACCAAGAGGCTTGGTCCAAGAACTTTGGCAGGAAGGGATTGACACGTTTATGGAGGAAAGATCTCTCGGAGACGGTGCATGGAGAGACAGACAGGCATGGAGAGATGGCATCGGAAGACGTAGAACATTTTAAACCGATTAATATATACATATATGTTACATTCTAGACCAATTTTAATTTATGACACTTTTGGATTAAAATGTATTTATGTGACCCTTTGAATAAAAAGATTAAGGAAGGAGATTAAGGATGTGGCATTATTGCGATTTATCAAAAAAGACTGTAAAATAGTTGGATGTGTAGCGTGCGGTAGATCTCGGTTAAAAATCGAGGAAAATAATGGAATAACTTTTCGCTAGTAAGTGACTTATACCTACATATGTGTAGTAAACAGAGCATTTATGCGCGACAAGCTTAAGTGTGCGACAAGCTTTACCGTACAGAGTACGGTTCTCTGCTGTGTTGGAACGAAACAATAATTAGTTATAGAGTGGAGTACTAAGATGTACTACGCAGTTCTTTCCAAATAATTCTCGTTGTGATATAACCTTTTACAACAAAATGCTTTGTTTTTATTCTTCGCGTGAGTGTAATTTTATGTTTTCAAATGTCGCTATAGGATCATTGTTTGTCGTCTAGCAAATTTAGCACGCGATCCCACAAAAGAGGTCAACAAGATATAGATCGTTCGATTTTTATGCTCTATTTTTAATGTTACTACAAAATGCAACAGGCTGAATAGTTATCGTAGTTTGCTTTTGTGGTTTTACAGAATGAAATAAAGAGGGAAATATTATTTGTGATTTTTGCGTGGCTTTTAGAAAATTTGAATTCAAAGCAATTTTCTGATATAATGAATTTGGTTAAAATTCATTACTGATTACCATCATTTTATAAGGAAATTATTTATTAAGGAAAATTTAGTATTCCTTTTTTATTACTATAAATATAATACAGTTTAACCTAATAGTGCACACCTGCTATGAATCCTGCAATGTCCGGTATATGGAGGTGTCCAGTATATACAGGGTGGCGCCTCTCATAAAACGCGGAGGCTACAAGTAGAACGACAGTTTGTATTAAAATGAAATTTTGTGAGCATATGTAGGTTAACTTTAGAGCATTTTTAAAAGACTTCTACAGGGTATCCCCAAAAAAAGTTACACATCAAAGTTGTGTTTTTTGTAATGGATATACAGGGTGCTACAAATTCGAGGTACGAGCATTGGTATCTCGGAAACCGTAATAGATACGAAGATGGTTAATTTGGGGCAAAGTTGTGCCTTGGGATGCTTACCAACAGGCTACCAAAAAAGTTTCAAAAATTTCAAGGATTGCTGAGTTTTTTGAGAAAAACGGATTTTTTTGAAAATCAATTTTATTTTTTCCTGTCGTTAGTTTTTAGAAAATCAAAAAGCTAATTGCACGTTCATAGCAACTTTATTAGGGCTATCTGATAGTACTTTTCTCTTCTTCTTACAGTGCCACACTCTTTAGAGAGCGTCCGCTTCCTCTCGCATATACTTGTGATGTGTATTATCAGGATTTTCACAAGTACCTTTAGATTTTCAAATTAGCTGATAATTTGTGAGATACAGAGGCGAACTTAATTTTTTTAAATACGGACCTGCATTATTTATTTCAGGTTTTGAAAAATTTGAAAGAACTCGGTTTACTGAGTATAATGATATGTCATACTTGAAACTTTTTTTGTTTTGGGTACTTTAACAACAACGAAATTATTTAATTATTATTTAAAATAATTTCAAGTACGACTCTGGTTTTTTAAATTATTTAATCTGATTATATTCATCGCAACTATATTGATATGCTGTTTACAAAACTCGACCAACTATTGTTGACAACATGAGAGAAATGATTGTGACTGTTTTTCGAAGTAGAACTTCACATATATTATGCCTTTTAACATGAAAATGTCTTTTCAGAACAGAATCATTTTATGCAGTGAACAGGAAAGGAAACATAATGGGCATTTGATTTCATCTAGCTAATATTTGTGTCACAATTATACGCTTGTATCTAGTTTTAATTCTGTAATAATCAAAATATATTTTAAACGTATATCTTTTTAGTAACGGTTGTTTTAGAACCTATTTTAGTGCGAAGTGTACAAGATAGCTTAAAAACCGTAAAAAAATCATCGCAACTTTATTAGAATATTTTGAACATGAAAGCGGTAGTAATGACTCTTTATGTCCCTTAAGTGCTGTAAGAAGGTGAGTTTTGTTGATGTAAATAATAACTGTATATACAGGGTTGTTCACCACATACGACACGGAGTATTGTAGCTAAACGATGAGATTTTTACAAATTGTAAGTTTGGGGTTCGTTGAAGGACTATTAGAGCTACAATTTAAAAATATTTTTACAAGATACAGAGTGTCCCAAATAAATAAAAAATATCAAAGTTGTATTTTTTTAAATGGAACACCCTGTATATTATTACATTTTTAGTTTCTACGATTAAAATAAAGGTAAATTTGATTAAGGTTTATTATACTTAAACCTTACCGTTTTTGAAATATTTTCAATTTTATGAAATTGCAGTAAAAATTTTAAAGCTTCATTTCTCCAAGGGTGTCAATGTTTTTAATACTAAATATTTAATGAAGTTTATTTATTGATCGGTTATTGTGTTGCAATAATAAAAATAATACTACCTTATACAGAGTGTCTAAGAATTTATTTTAAATAATTATTAGCTTCAAACGGCAATAACTTTTTAATTTAAATAGAATGCCCTGTATATTTATTTTAGGAAATCAGATGCACAATTAAATTGTCTATCAAATTGTATTATACCATTTTTTACCTATCCCTTCAAGTTTTCGTATAAAATGCATTTTCTTATAATTTAGACCTCATTTATCAATATATCAATGGAATATTGACATTTTAGATTGTTTTTAAAGCAACAAATGTACAAAATGTACAGACTAGTAATATTATCGTTTTTAGCAAAACGATAATATTACTAGCCCATTTGTATGCAAAAAGAAAACTATTTAAATCTTTATAAAAGAGTATACCATTAATTAAATATAACACCATTATTTGCGCCCATATACTAATTAATTACATACTTAATTGTGTTCGTTATTAAATTATTATAAATAAATGTGGATTTGAGTCAGAAATCAATATAATAATAAGTTATCAAATTAAAGTCTCTGTAGTTATAAATAAGCATTTATTAAAAAATGAAATATCATTTTTAAGGTGTTACTTTTTATCACACTGTCTAATGCCCATACAAAATTCAGTTTTTTAGTATTTGGAGCAATTATTATTAATCAAAGCAAACAGTCAGTTAATGTTGTTTGAATACTGGAATCATATTAACTGATCCTCTTTAACAAATATTTAAACAGTTTTTTTTTATTTTTTAATGAAATAAACGAATTATATCGACAATATTAATATCTGTACTCTTTAAAAATTTGATACATCTTTAAAAATAATCTAAAATGTCAATAGTCCATGGATATATTGATAAATAAGTTCTAAATTACAAGAAAATAAATTTTCTACGGAAACTTAAAGAGATAGGTAAAAAATGGTATAATATAATTTGATAGACAATTAAATTGTGCATCTGATTCTCGTAAAATATACAGGGTGTTCCATTTAAATTAAACAAGTTATTGCCGTTTGAAGCTAATAATTATTTAAAATAAATTTTTAGACACTCTGTATAAGGTAGTATTATTTTTATTATTGCAACACAATAACTGATCAGTAAATAAACTTCAGTAAATATTTAGTATTAAAAACTTTGATACCCTTTGGAGAAATGAAGCCTTAAAATTTTTACTGCAATTTCACAAAATTGAAAATATTTCAAAACGGTAAGGTTTAAGTATAATAAATCTTAATCAAATTTACCTTTATTTTAATCGTAGAAACTAAAAATGTAATAATATACAGGGTGTTCCATTTAAAAAATACAACTTTGATATTTTTTATTTATTTGGGACACTCTGTATCTTGTAAAAATATTTTTAAATTGTAGCTCTAATAGTCCTTCATCGAACCCAAAACTTACAATTTGTAAAAATCTCATCGTTTAGCTACAATACTCCGTGTCGTATGTGGTGAACAACCCTGTATATTAATAGTAATATAATTAATTTATTTTTTTCCTAAAATATTTTGATTAAAAGAAAAAAAGTGCAAGTGGGCAACGCTGTGCCGGTCAAGGTTAATTACGTGCCTAAAAGTTTTTTTTTTTTTTTTAGATTTAAAAGGTGAAGGGGGAAACCTGCAACAGGTACTCGCCTAGGAAAACCTACTATGTGCCAGATGAGTTATGTGGGATTTTTACCTCACTAAAATCTAGCCTACACCTCTGTCCTCTCTCCAGGAGCGTTCTTTCCCCGGCGGCACTCTTTGTAAATACTACTTCATCGGGGCGTTTTATATGGTGTTACTGCTGTCTATTCTTCGTAAGTAGTGCGAAGGTCCTTGAGTATGGTCCCAGCATACTCCGCTACCTTCTTCCATGCCGATTGACTCTTCAGCATGCAGTCCACTATATTTTCTGGGCTGATGGACAAGCCTAGATTTCTCTCGAATTTATATAAAAGTTTATTTGATATGAACTATATGTATGTATGTGTATTAGGTACATATATTAGTTAATATTAATGTAAAAAACACATCATTTTTATGTCATATAAAGCAAAAGATTAACATTCTAATAAATAACACAACACTGGAAATAGTAGAAGAATATAATAATATATTTTATATTTGGGACAACTAATACACATAGTACTATTATCTCTTGGAATTTTATTAAATGAAGTTTTCCTACCGAATTTTTCAAACATACTAACCACCATTAGCACCAATAAGGTTTAGGCAGAAAAAAAAACATCATAACAAACTCAAATAGAAGGGAGCTACATCGAGCAAGGTGTTGACGTGTTTATTTGTCGTTAATCAAGGTGAAGCCGATCGTGTCGGTCTATGTAAACATTTTTCTGTATATAGCTAATAAAAATCTATAAAATGGAAGCTTTGGGAAGGGGGGAGTGCGGGAACGATTTGAAGTCACCACGGCTGTTTGTTTGGCCGAATATTTTGCCTTCATCGACGGTATCGCCGCCCTGTCGTCGCACTTCCGAACATAGGTCTTTTTGAACACAAAATTTCCCATAAGGTGTCGCATCTGTTTAAGTTAGTTTGTGGTAATAGTTAAAGTTATCAATTAGAATTATATTGTAGGGTCGTTTATGACCTCAAAGGTATGAAGGTTTTTATTAGAGATGGGACATTCCTAAACTAATATTACAAATTTGATTAAAATGAGGACGGGATTATAACAGAATCTTTACGCGCGTTGGGATTAAAAATTCAAAACCATGCCACACGGGCATAAATGACGGCAATGTTGACGCACGAGCTAGCGAGAGGCAAAGTGATAACGGCAGTGTTGCCAGAGCCACCCCATTCGGGGTAGATATACCCCTTTATAAAACAATTTAACTCCGCTATTTCATGATAATCTACCCCAATGAAAAATAAGCTTGTGGCAACACTGGGTAACGATCTGTGACATACGTAGTTAAGAAAATCACTATAATAAACTTGATACTCTACCAACTGTATGTGTGATGTGTACCAATATCCTCTGGTTGTGTGCTAGGAAGTAATTTTTTATGCATACTTCTATAACATCATCCATAGGTTACTTCTATAACATCATCCTAGAATTATTAGAGTTAGTAACTCGCATTTTTATTGGAGGACACTCTCATATTTATTTCATACCAATAATCAACGAAAATATTCGTATAATTTAATAAAATTACTGTAAATCACTATAAATAATAAATTGTTTGTAATTTCTGTATTATTAATCCGGTAAATGATGGAAATAAACAAATGTGATTGATTAAAATGTTATTTAAGATGAAACTTTTGTTAACAACATTCTGCGAAAATAATGATTTGAATACTGACAAGACAAGTGACATCTGTCAAAAAAAGACAGCGATTTAGAGTGACAATTTGGTTATATAAAATTTAGAGTGACAATTTTGATTATGCAAAAGAAATATATTCTATGCGTTTACTGGTTGCCTAACAATTAACATTAATTTAAAAATAAATCCCCAACATGAATAATGAACACAATATTTAAACAAAAACAGACCACAGACACAAAACAAATTGTTGGTTAGTAGAAGCTAGCAGTAGTCAGAGATATAGATGTAGTAGTATTTTGGTTTAATGGCCGCAGCTGCCAGAACAACTATCCGGCTGAGTAATAGAATTATCGTTTTTTTTTAAAAAATTAAAAAAAAAAACGTTATAAAATTATAAAGTTAAAATAGTATACAGTTTTATATTAGCTCTAATTTTTTTGAAGTGCAATTTAATAGCTGTTAGTAAGAAGTTTCACTTCAAATATGCGCACATAATGTACCGGGTGTCCCACTAAGAATAGCTCTCGGCTGTATCTCGGAAGGTATTAGCCGTAGGGCTTACGGAAATAAAAAATATTTATAACTAAAAGGGCTATGAGAAATTGCTGAAAATTATTTTCAAGTTTGTAAAACGGCCGCTAGGTGGCGCAACTGCTATGGAAAATAAGAAAATAGATTTTTTACAGAATTTTGCCTAGATAATGGGTACTATAAATAATAGCTTCATAATCTTCAGTAAATTTTGGATTTTTTTTGTTAGAACCATTTTCCCCTATCTGCTAAAATAAAGTGGTGGGTGACCAGAATCCAACAAACGAGGGCTCGTTTAAAAGAGCGTTCCTTACTCTATATTATAACATAAAAATAATAATAATTAGGTGTTGAACGTAGACGCTAGGGGGCGCTTTCTTACAATTTAAAAAACATAGCGCGTTTTTTCAAAAAAAAATAAATACGATAGTATGTATTATTTTACCTGATAGTAAAGAGTAGTAAAAGCTTAAAAAGTCAGCGAAAACCGCATCTTGATATCTTCTTTCAAATCGAAGATATTAGCAAAATTATAATAAATACGAAAAAATAAGCCCTTAATTACCTTCTTTTTACAATAAAGTATCAGGAGCCCTCTTGATTAGGCCCATTCTAACAAAAAATAAGATTAGAACAGTTAGTTTATTTTAAAATCGACGAAATACCAGAATACCATAATAACAGATGTATTAATATCTAATAATTAAGATATTAATAATAGTGAACAAGAAACGATGATTCAGTGAAGTCATGGTAGGCTTTGGAAAAAAGTTGCTTTTCGCGTAATACTATAAACGTCAAATTGTTATTAGATCAACATTTTGATAGTCTAGCAGCGTTTTGTTGAACTTTTAAATGCTTTTTCAAAATGCCTTTATTATTTGAAGTAGTTGAAGCTGTTAGAGCATTTTGAAAAAGCAATCAAAAGATAAAAAACGCTGCTAAGACTATCAAAATGTTGATCTAATAACAATTTGACGTTTATACTATTACGTGAAAAGCAACTTTTTTCTAAAGCCTACCATGACTTCACTGAATCATCATTTCTTGTACACTATTATTAATATCTTAATTATTAGATATTAATACATCTGATATTATGATATTCTGGTATATCGTCGATTTTAAAATAAACTAACTGTATCTTATTTTTAGGTTAGAATGGGCATAATCAAGAGGGCTACTGATACCGTGTTGTAAAAATAAGATAATTAAGGGCTTATTTTTTGGTATTTATTATAATTTTGCTAATATCTTCGGTTTGAAAGGAGATATCAAGACTCTTACTATCAGCTAAAATTACATATACTGTTGTATTTAATTTTTTTGAAAAAACGCGCAATGTTTGTTAAATTGTAAGACAACGCCCCCTAGCGTCTACGTTCAAAACCTTATTATTATTGTTTATATGGTACAATATAGAGTAAGAAACGCTCTTTTAAACGAGCCCTCGCTTGTTGGATTCCGATCATCCAGTTCAGAGTTATTAATATTCAAATAAAAATAGATTTTACCTTCCCCCACCACTTTATTTTGGTAGATAGGGGAAAATGGCTCTGACAAAAAATATTCAAAATTTACTGAAGATTATGAAGCTGTTACTTATAGTATACCTTATCTAGGCAAAATTGTGTAAAAACTCCATTTTCTTATTTTTTATTGCAGTTGCGCCCCCTAGCGGTCGTTCTATAAACTTGAAAATAATTTTCAGCAATTTCCTATAGCCTCTTTAGTTATAAATATTTTTTTTCGCAGCCGCTACGGCTAATACTTTCCGAGATGCAGCCGAGAGCTATTCTTAGTGGGACACCCGGTACACACAAATTTTAACATTGAAAATGTTTCTGTTATCCTATATAAGGGAGCCCAAATCGAATTAAAATGCTACATTTGCCACACCATGACGTCATATATACAAGGGTATAGGAAATCTCGGCGCAGCGGCGGCAGTCGGCCAGCGCGCGCAAAAACCATTACATCGCTTATTGTTTATTGATATATCTTTATTAGTTTAAAAGCAAAAAATATGGGGTTTGCTTTGATACCTTGTCAAGACATAAGCGAAACTTTTAAATTGTTTCTTTTTTTCATTTAGGCCTTTGTTTTTCGTTAAATGAAAGTTATATTAAAAAAAGACTATTTTTAAACCAAATTTTCGCATGATTGAAATGATTATTCATGTTTAAAGTTTTTTTTTGGTCATAAGCGCTAATGGAAATGTTTTTTTGTAAATAATTATAAAAAATTACTCCCTACGAAGACTTTATTCTGTACTGGATCAAAAAATAAGTATTTGTTTTCTCTATACGGTGGTATTAATATATCGATTTTTGATGATAGTGCCTTTTTACCCTGTTTAATTTTGTACTACTTTCGGAATAAGGGTCCCCATATCATGTACTGTGATGTACTGTACTTCCATCCCTGAAAAATTCAGCTTGTGACACCGAAGTGAGAGGTAACGTCAAAATAAGCTTTAATCTACCTACATCATCATAGGTAGGTGTAGGTACTCTAGGTAAATTCTACCTAGACAGTAGCTGAACTAGCTGACAGTAGTAATTAATTTGTTATCCGATAAGTAGTTGTCATTATATAAGTTTAATCGTCTTATACCTCCTATAACGGTAGGTTTTGGATTTTTCCTGATTGGTTTGTTAAACAAAAATATACTGGGCATATAAATGTCTGTTACAGGTTAATTCGTTAAAGAAATATGTTACACACATATTATTTTAATAATAATAGTATAATAGTAATGGCTATATTATGTTATAACACATTATTGAATTAACAATTGAAAACAGTATTGAATGTACTTATTTTAACCAATGCATTGTTTTGTTTTTTTAATCTCACAAATAAGAAATATTTTATAGTTTTTATTATAAAAAACAGTGATTATACAATTTATTTACACCCCTTACACTGTTTTCTGTAAGGGGTGTAACCAGGAGTATATTTCGTAACCTTTTACGATATAAGAGGGCACAAAGTGTTTTATTACTTAATGCTTAAAATTTAATAATATATTTGTACATAAAATAAAATAGACTAGAAAGTCAATTAATTAATATTGACGTAATTACTAAATAAGTACAAGATTTTTTTTCTAATTATTTTAGTGTATTTTTAGCCACCTA